CGGTTTGTGCGGACCCAAAGAAAGTTGGGGTGTCTGCGGTGTGTCGCTGCTACTGCCAGTCCTGAGGACGAAGTACCGTTCCGCCACTCTCACAACCCGGCATGTGGGCTGTATTTTGGCCTATAATCAGGTTTTGGCGCACTCCGGCGTGAAAGGTGCCTTGGACCACGCCAAGCAGTTGCTCGAAGTGCAAAGGCTTGACCATTCTCTCACGCGATAGCCTAAATTGTGAGGCAGAGGGAGGGGGAGCGGTGGTTGCGGGACCCCAACGACTGTTACTTCGTTTTGTTTTTGTTTTTCCGGCGACTCTAGCTGTCGTCGCAAATGTGTTTTAGGATTATTATTATTTTTTTCGCGTGTGTGGGCATTTGAGAAACCTTAAAGAGGGGGAGGCTGTGTCCCTCGGATCAAGCCATAACCCCGTTGTGTGTTTCCTTTCAATCTTCAGGAGTAGGTGTTGCGAAACACTCAACTACACATAGCCCACTGTTTTTTGCTGTTTTGTGTGTGCGTGTGTGTGTTTGCTTCATGTCACGTGCGTATGGTCGGTGCGGCAGGTAGAGATACCAAATGAAGGATTTATTCCCCTCCGTTTGCTTTTCTCTCTTTGCATCTCGCTTTTTTTTCTTTTTGCCTGTTTGTTTGATTGGCATGATTTGTTTGTGTTTTCGTACAACACGTTGTGGGACTCTGAGCGAAAGAAAAAAAAAGAAAAAAACTGAGAAAAAAACAAAACGATAAGCACTTTGTTGCGAGCGTGACACCACACACATACACGGAGAGAGAGAGGTGTATATTTCTGTACTTGCCATTGTTTAATGGTCATATGTTTTTGTTTTTGTTTTTTGCTTCCTTACGCACCCACCCGCAAGGGCAAAGAAACCCGCTCCCCCCCCCCCCACGATACACAATACCGTACTCGAATTTACTGTGCATATATACATTTACCGACAACAAACTCACAGTAGAGCCTGGTCGAATGCTGCGCCGCTTCACAGCAGTATGGCGTTATGCGGCAAACGGTGGTAGCTGGAAGAGGAAACGTTCTAGCTTGGCGCGGTGCACAGTCATTCGCTCTCGTATGCCTTCTATTGATCCCTCTTCCGCTTCCCTTTCTTCGCTTGGCGGCAGCATTAACCACGGCGAACTCACAAAGTCTTTTTCTAACTCCGAAACAGCAAAAGTAACAAACAAAGGTGAAATGACTGATAACAAGGGAACCATTGGCAAAGGTCCACTTCAAAACTTTGACGATGAGCTAAACTTTCCAAAAATGGAGGAGGAGGTCCTGGAGCTCTGGGAAAGGGTGGACGCGTTTCGTGAATCTTTTAAGCAGTCCGAGGGAAAAAAACGCTACACCTTTTACGATGGTCCACCATTTGCCACAGGTTTGCCTCACTACGGTCACCTTTTAGCTGGCACCATCAAGGATATCGTCTGCCGCTACGCCCATCAAACTGGGCACTGTGTGGAGCGTCGATTTGGGTGGGATTGTCATGGACTTCCTATTGAGTACGAGATTGACAAGAAACTCGGGATTAAGACGTCCCATGATGTGATGGCTCTTGGCATCGACAAGTATAATGACACATGCCAGAGTATTGTAATGCGTTATTCCGAGGAGTGGCGCAAGACGGTAACCCGCATGGGACGTTGGATTGACTTTGATAACGACTACAAGACGATGTATATGTCGTATATGGAGTCTGTTTGGTGGGTCTTCAGGCAGCTATGGGATAAGGGTCTCATCTACCGCGGTTTTAAGGTGATGCCGTTTTCAACAGCGTGTAGCACGCCACTCAGCAACTTTGAGGCCAATTCAAATTATAAGACTGTGAACGATTCATCGGTTTTGGCGAGATTTCGGACTAGGGATGATCCAAACACGTACTTTATCGCTTGGACAACAACGCCGTGGACACTGCCAAGTAATTTGGCACTTTGTGTTCATCCCGATTTGGATTATGTAAAGGTGTTGGAGTCCAAGACGAAGCGACACTACATTGTGGGTGAGGTGCGTCTTTCAGAGGTCTTTCCAAGCAAGAAGAAGAGTGGTAATGCGAATACCGAAGCTCCACCGTACACCATCGTTAGCCGCATGAAGGGGAAAGATCTCATTGGAACCAAATACGAACCACTTTTTCCCTATTTTAAATCTGTGTATGGGGAAACCGCTTACCGCGTCATTGGTGACACGTACGTTGAAACAGATAGTGGTACGTGTGTTGTGCATCAAGCGCCTGGATTTGGTGAGGATGATTTTCGGATATGCATCTCCAATGGTATTGTTAACAAGGAGAAAGTGTTATGCCCTGTTGATGAGAACGGGCGATTTCATGCAGATGTGCAAGATTTTGCTGGTCGCTACGTGAAGGACACGGATGATGACATTTTGAAGTACTTGGATGCCAAAGGTCTGCTGCACAGCAAAGGCTCTGTGGCCCACAGCTATCCCTTTTGTTGGCGAAGTGAGACGCCGTTGATTTACAAGGCTGTGGACTCTTGGTTTGTTAACGTGGAATCAATGCATGATAGGCTGCTGGAAGCGAATTCAAAAACAGAATGGGTGCCCAACTTTGTTAAGACTCGGCGCTTTTCTAACTGGCTGGAAGGTGCCAAGGATTGGAATCTCTCCCGCAACCGCTACTGGGGTACACCCTTGCCCGTTTGGCATAGTGAAGACTGGGAAGAAGTGGTGTGTGTTGGCAGTGTGAAGGAGCTTGAGGAGCTTTCCGGCGTGACTAACATCGAAAACATCCACCGGCAATTTGTGGATGGAATTACAATTCCTAGCAAGAGGCCAGGCATGCCTCCGTTACGTCGTGTCGAAGAGGTCTTTGACTGTTGGTTTGAGTCGGGATCGATGCCATATGCTCAGTCTCACTACCCTTTTGAGAATAAGGAGGAATTTGAACAGGGGGGATTTCCAGCTGATTTTGTGGCGGAAGGGTTGGATCAAACCCGGGGGTGGTTTTACACACTGCTTGTTCTTGGCGTCGCACTTTTTAATACCTCACCATTTAAAAATGTCGTGGTAAACGGTCTCATCCTTGCGGAAGATGGAAAGAAGATGAGCAAGCGGCTGAAGAACTATCCTGAGCCATCGAAAGTTATTCATACACATGGTGCTGATGCTTTGCGTATGTATCTTATTAACTCTCCGGTGGTTCGCGCAGAGCCTCTGTGTTTTCGCGCCCAGGGTGTCCGCGGCATTGTCAAGGATGTGTTGCTGCCACTTTTCCATGCCACCAAATTCTTTATTGCAAATGCTAACTACTGTGTTTTGAGTGGTGGAAATGTTTCGCTGGACGTTGTCAGCACAAATGAGATGGATCGGTGGATTTTGGCGTCCACTCAAACCCTACAACGATACGTCAAGAAGGAGATGGATGTATACCACTTGTACAACGTCGTTCCAGGTGTACTTCGATTTGTTGTGGATCTGTCCAACTGGTATGTTCGCATGAATCGCCGCCGTATGAAGAACACCGTGGACCAAGAAGATCGTTCGCAGGCTCTATCAACGATGCTCACGGTGCTCTTCTCCGTTTCCCGCATCATTTCTCCCATTTCTCCGTTTGTGGCAGAGATGCTGTATCAGCGCATCAAGCCGCTTCTTCCTGCGTCACAGCACATGGATTCAGTGCACTATCTCATGTTTCCCGAGGAAGATAAGGGAAAACGTGACGAACTGCTGGAACGCGCCATGAAGCGCATGATCGTCATTGTCGAGCTTGCCCGTGTGCTTCGGGACCGTATGGTGATTTCCATGAAACGTCCTGTGCGACAGGCTGTTATTGTGCATCCTGATCCGGCCTACCTGGATGATGTTCGCCGTGTGGTTCAATACATTAAGGATGAGGTTAACGCATTTGATGTGGTCCTATCATCTGGTGAGGAATACATCATAACACAACTGGATGCCAATATGGAAGCCTTGGGAAAACGTCACCGCAGCGAGGCTCCTCGGCTCCGCAAGGCAGTTCAACAAATGTCACACGACGAAGTTGCAAGCTTCCTTAAGAACGGAAGGGCAGAAGTGTGCGGAGTCCCCCTCACGTTGGACGACGTCAAAGTTGTTCGCAAGATTAGGGATGGAATTGTCGACTTCGAAAGCAACACCGACAATGATGTGGTGGTGCTCCTGGATAAACGCGAGGATCAGGCTCTGGTGGATTCCTGGCGGGCGCGGGAGTTTGTTAACCGCGTACAGCAATTACGAAAGAAGGCAAAACTTGTGGTAACAGACATGGTGGACGTGTACTTTGAGTCCGAGGACTTGGAGCTCACAAACTCCATCCTCAACTGCGCTCAGCAAATAAATATGACCATTCAGGGAAAATGGGATACGATGAACAAGATGCCAGCAGCCGCAAAACTTGTTGCTGAGGAAGACAACAACATTTCTGGCGTTGGTATCAAGATTGTCTTCACGGAGGTTTTGGCTTGATGTGTGAAGACCCGTGTTATCTGTTGCCGTGCTCTTTTCTCTTTTTTTTTTTCTTCTTCTACGTAGAAATATTGTTTCGATGTTGCGTTTCTGTTACCTATGGGGTGGGGGGTTTATGATGTTTTGGTATTCCGCTGTTATTGTTTTTATGAATTGCATTAGCCCCTTCCCACACTTTTTCCCGTCGTTTTATGTTTTTTTTTTTTTTGTATTATCGCACCACGGGCCTTGAAGCTCGTTTTTTGCGCTTTTCAATACAATGGCTATCGTCGTTGTTTGTGCCTACCGCTGCTAATGGGTCTACTGTCGTTTGCGCTTCCCTCGCTTCCATTTGTTACTATTACCGTTACAGTTGTGTACAATGGTATTTGTCTCTTTGTACACGCCCATCTGTGGGGGCCAGTCCTTCTTTTTCGGGCCGAGGTATTCGGCGGGGGGGGGGGGGGGGAAAAAAAAAA